AGGTTGATTATGATCATAAAAGAAAGATAACTCTATCTGAAAGCGGTAATATCTGAAAATATATATTAGGATGACGGTACAATGCTATTGTATTTGTCTTGTTTTGGTAGTTAGTAGAATCAAAAATTTTCCGGGTCTCACTAATTAGAAAAGGCGATAAGAAGCGTCAAGAAGCGACAAGAAGACTATTTAGCGACAAGAAAATATTTTTTTTATTAAGATTACTTATTCCAAATAAATATTAAAAAATATGCATTTGATTTTTTTTTAATATATGGGCAGGAATAAATTGATATTTTTTTTTATTATATTGATAGATGAAGAAATTAAACATTTGTGAGGAAGAAAGGGATTGTGTAGTTTTTTTTATTATATTGATAGATGAAGAAATTAAATATTTGTGAGGAAGAAAGGGATTGTGTAGTCCCAGATACGCTTTGTTATATTGTAAGCGTGTTTACATTCATATCTAACACAATCGTTATACACTATGTACATGGTGGTTTGCCAATTTTTGAAGATGCTTTATTTGTAGAACTCTCAGCCACGCTTTGCCATCTTTATTATTTAAGCGTGTTTCCAGACCCCACGACGAGGACGTGGTTCTACCTTGGGGAACATATTTTTTTTTATTTTTTTTATTTTTTTTATTTTGTAGTCATTATAGTAATATTTACATTCATTTCTAACATAATCTTGATACATTTTGTACATGGTGGTCCAATTTTGATAAGCCGTAGATTTTTTACCACTAAGGTTCACTGTATTTTAGCCCTTTTTGAAGATGTAGTTTTTGCACTTTTAGTACGTTTCCTTTGACAAGGCTTATGTGCACATGCACTTGTTTTGGGGATTGTCAGCCCACCATCTGTTGAAGTGGTGGACCCTGGGTTTGCGTTTAACATTCTCCCATAAGTCAAGAATTTTTGCAATGCAAATGCCTTTTCTTTCTCCGATTTAATCTGCCAGAGAAGTTTTGTGCATTGAAATGGCTTACTGAGGAGCTTAGCTCAAAGTCTCCATGTCCATAAAGTGCGCCATTGACAAGACTTTCTTGCAACTTTATTTCTTTGTGTATTTTATTAATCAACTCTGGAAGTTTCTCAGGCTTCCAATCTTGATTAAGTTTCAAGATGTGATTAATTGATTCACAATTGTTGTTTTTCCATTGCAATGGAATTATTGACTCTGTTTTTCGTGCATTGTACACGTAATCCCTAATAGTAGGAATAACTTTTTGCGTAAGGTATGGACCAACGAGGTCTTCATATTTTCTTTCTATTTCAGTTACCTTAGTGGAAAAATCTATCGTAGTATCTGCTTCTATCAGACCACTATCCCCAAACAAGTCTGATAAAATTTGTTTTGCGTTTTTGTCATTTACGCCAACCTTTGTTCGCAAATGCCTAGTAACATTTTCACTCAAGTGTCTTGTGCACAAGGTTAGTTCAGATGTTGGAAAACTGTCTTTGATAGCTTTAACTTATGCCTTTTCCTCATCTGAACCAATCACAAGATTGCTATAACTAAGCAATGTATCATTAATTGTGGTATCAAGCACTGAAGCAGGCGCCCAAATTGAATGTTCTGTCAACACCAATTATTGATGACCTACAGGCACTGGCAAAATGTTTCATTTGGAAATCTGTATAGCAGATAACACTTCGTGGTTTGCCTGTGGTCTGAACAATTTCTTTCAAAAAAGGATGCTTGGCAGAATTCATATTAATGACAGTTTGCATATCATCAGCAATATTTTGTTTGTTGAAAGGATTTTTTTCATTATTTACATGATACTTTACGTTTTCAACATATTTTGAGTCACGTGGCTGATGTTCAGAGTCAAAGTTATCAGTGAAAGTTTGTTTAACTGATTTACCAGCTTCTGTCTCTGATCTAACTTGCGATTTAGTCTCAGGTGAAGTTCTGATATATTCTTGATTTGTCATTTTAGCGTTACCATGCTTATTAACTACTTCAATAGGATAAGTTCCTATGTATTCTGCTATGGCTTTATTCATAGTTTCAAGTGAATGGCCAGGCATTTTTTCGAACCAACTAATTCTTTTCTTGTAAGAATTCATTCTTTTCAGAGAAGCATAATAACGTTTAAGGATGAACAAATTAGAATCATCAGGTTGTGGTTCTAAAGCAATAAATTCCTTTTTTATTTGTTTACAATAAAGATCATTCTTCTTAACACATGAAACTAAATTGCTATTATTTTGTCGTACACAATATGTTGTCTTAGTTGAGGTTGATTTGGAATCCCATGTTCCACAATCGTCCCAAAACTCCATTTTTTTTTTGACTTAGCTTTCCTAGTCATATTTGATTCATTATCTAACACAAAGTACTGATTTTCTTTAACCGAACGTGGTATTTCAGTATGAGACACATTTTCATTCACCAGCACATTTAAAACCTGATCAGTAGATAGAAACTTGCCATCTAAAGATTTTTTAATTATAATTTCATTTTGAATATTTGATTCATTTGATTCATTTGCCTCGAGCGTGCAAGATATGCTGTCTACCTTTACATCAGTATAAGAGTTATCTAATTCTACATGACATGTGTTACTGCGTGTATTGCCTTGATCAACTGAATCGAAAGATTCATCTAGATGCTTAACAGTGGTATCAAAAATTGTTGGACACACATTTGATTCATTTCTTGTACTATCTAAAAGTGGAAAGTCATGCATACTCTCTATATCAATAACAGATATATTGTGGCTAGCTTTAACTAGCGGCACAAAGTGATCTGGAGTCCATATCGGACTGCGCCCATGACCAGAACTGGTCCATAGTATTACAATTGGCTCATTTGACTTAACTTGCAATGGGTCAAATGTGGTGTTTAAGATACCGACTGTCTTGTTCATAAACCCATTTCGGGGTGGATATACTGACTGAATTGGACAACCTAATACCGACGCTGCGGCAAGAATGGTCCATGCGGACGAAAATGCTCTATTTTTTGCGGCAGCCTTACAAGCTTTATCATATGATGGTGAGACTAGTTCTAGTCTATTGCGCTTAGATGTGTCATAAATTAGCTTATTTGACACCATCTCTATACAAGTCAAAACTCTCAGTCTTGTTGCAAGACTTTCATTGCCACACATGTCCACTGACAAAGAATTGAAGAGACAATTGCCATTTGTTGAGACTTGGACAGGGGTTCTTTCTTTAATAATCATGCTTTGTTCTTTTAATATTTGTCTAGAAACCCTGTCTTCAACTAAAGAACTCATGGCAGAATATGTATGGTTTGTCTCCCCAATAATTTGTGTTAGTGGTTCTTTTCTTAGCAATATTTGCTCTACTTTTACGCCATCCATCAACAAATTTTTACTTGCATATACGTCTAATCTACTAATAGACAGATCATAGTCAAATTTATGATCTTTTGCCTGACAACATTGTGTACATATGAAATCACAGCTTTTAGTCTGACTTCAGACCAGGAACTGATCTTTTGTTAATTTTTGACATTTTTGGTGTAACCATGTTTCACATTTTTCACAAAACACACACATTCGAGTGCAGTTTTTTAAGCAGTTACCACAGGGGTGTGCCATTTTCAGAGTGTAAGATTAATAACTTTCCTTACTATTTCCTTTGCCCACGAGGAAAACCCTTATCCTAAGGGATTTAGTTTGTCACGGCGACGTGACAAAATAAGTTCGTTACTCAGTATTTACCCTTGCCCAAGGGGATATAAACGAACGTGTCCACTATAGTATAATTTTAATACTTCTAATATGCATTTATCGAAGATCGAGTCGTAACCTTTTTTCCCTTGTCCAAAGGGAAATTGAAACCCTGTACCAAAGGGTTTGTTTGATACTGCGCAGTACCAAAGACGTACAAAATATACTGATTTATTAATCAAAGGTAAACCAAGATGCGTTTCGGATTGTAGCAATTGCACAGAGCACGTTCTTTTGCAAGAATAAGACTGAAATGCTGACAATTTACTTTATACAAAACATAAAAGTTGAATGGCTTCAGTCAGCTTGTTAGAGCAAAGCAAATGCACACGCTATAAAATGGAAATAAAAACAAAGATTTTTCAACTTTCCTTTGAAGAATTTATTGAAACAAAAACATGAAATATTATTTCCTTTCTAACAGTACAATTCATTGTTCTTGATATGAACAACATTAGATGTGGCTTCACCCTAGGTAATAACAGTACACACAATGTGAAACATCAAATGAGATTAACGAGGCGCGTGTCCCTTGTTTTATTGCTACAAAAACATCCAATTAACACCTTCAACTTTGTACACGCGTCAGACTATACAATAACACGCGCCATAATATACAATCATTGTAAATAGTGAACACCTGTTGAAAACTCAAGATTGTCATTAATTTCCTTTAATCTTTAATCAACATTAAACTATTCATAAAGTTAACATGATAAATATCGTTAAATGAGGCAATACACAAAATAAAATGATGAAAAATATTCACATTTTAATTATGTTTTCCTCTTGTTTGATTTCAGTTCTTTGTATTTCACAATTTGTGTCTGTATTTTCTGGACAATGATGCACAAATAATGCATTTTGCAAGTTTATTATACAGTGTACAAGGAGAGTTTTAAAAACAAATTATAAGATAAATATATCATTGTTCTAAAACACAAGTAAAATTAATATCCTAATACGACAGGGTAAACGTAATACTTGCTGTTAAACATAATAAATAATAAAATATCACAAATAAATGTAGCAATTAGTTCTATGTTTCAATTTTTTTTCTATCTATTTATTGATAGAATATTAACTTTCTTGTCGCTAAAATTGTTTTATTTTGCATATTCTTTTAATATTTATTTGGAATAAGTAATTTTAATAAAAAAAATGTTTTCTTGTCGCTAAATAGTCTTCTTGTCGCTTCTTGTCGCTAAAATTATTCTTCTTGTCGCTTCTTGACGCTTCTTGTCGCTAAAATTCTTCTTGTCCCTAATTAGTGAGACCGATTTTTCCGGATGTGGTTGGCTGTTTACTTTGTTCAAAGAACTTCCTTTTAGGAATTTTGACAGCATGGCACAGGCGACTGTTTTGCAGAATTTGTATGCAGAATTAAACAAATATAAGAACAACCAGGAGTATGACCGAGCTCTAAAGATAGTTAACAAAAGTAAACTTAAAAATTGTTTCTTAATTTAACTGCTCCGAAAATTTGAATGAGACAATGTAGTCCTTACAAAAATATGTTGGTGTTTTGACAGCTGCTGATGATTTCGGAGTGTAAACATAACCTATTACATGTTATGTTAAGGGCATACGATACAGAAAAGATCTCTTGTTGATTTTTCCTTAATATTTTGACTCAAAATTCAATATTGCTATCAGGTTATGCACCATATGCAAGAAAAATATACCATTATGACAGGGCTGCCAAGTCTCACGCATGTAGCGTGAGACTCACGCATTTTCATGCTTATTTTGCGGCATTTTCCTTTGATCTATTGTTTTTGGATAGTTTGCTATAGCAATATACTTTCCTAAGGCATATTAAGCCTCAAACCTGAAGTTGGACAGACTATCGCATTTGTTCTACTCCTAGATAATGTAGTACTAGTGTTTGAATACTAATTCTAGGTAGATGCTTTTGAAATTTTGAGTTACTTCTATTTTGATTAGCTTACAGCTTGAATTAAAATGTACTGAATGTTCATCGATAATTCAAATGAATTCAACTTCATTTTGAAAATGGCTATCACAAACACTATCTTGCGGATCTGCGCTGCACGGAAATTCAAATCAATACACATCTACACGAGACAGCAGTTTCTACGTTATGCTTTTATCGGTATTCCCCAGACATTCATGAGATCCATATATGTGTACCTCCTGACGGGAGAACAATAATCCCGGTTTCAGGGGTTTCCTCCCGTCCTCCGGTTGAAGAGAAAATAAATACCGTGTTTAAAATATTTCATGAATGAACATTTAATCGACGCTATTTTTACTACGATTATTACAAATGTTTATTAAAGACGTAAAAGCCCGAGTGTATCTAAAGTAACCTGGTATCTCATCTCTGCCCATAAAAGAGGGACGAAGATACCAGAGGGACAGTCAAACTCATAGATCGAAAACAAACTGACAACGCCATGGCCAAAAATAAAAAGACAAACAGACAAATAATAGTACATATGACCCAACAAAGAAAACTAAAGACTAAACAACACGAACCCCACCAAAAACTGGGGGTGATCTCAGGTGCTTCAGAAGGGTAAGCAGATCCTGCTCCACATGTGGCACCCGTCGTGTACAGACTCGGACTATAATAATTTCGGCCTATTACAAAATCGGACTATAACAAAATTCGTATATATACTATTTGTTATTAAGTCTCCTAAACAAAGTTTGGAGACTTATTGTTTTTGCTCAGTTATTATTATTTTTCTTCTTGGGGTCTATTTATGGGTATTGAGGGGCCTACAGAAGGGAGGGATTTTCTAAAGAACCCTATGGGATTTTATTTTTTTAATTTTCAAATGACTATAACTTGAGAACAGTAAGTGATAGACACACGCGGTCTTCAGTAATGATCACAGGACAATAAAACAAATCAAATAAAATATAGGTTGAGTCCCTGGGGTCACCCCCCCCCCCCCCCCTTCAATTTGAGAATGGGCTTTTATCTTGTAATCAGTCGAGATCCCCACACCTAAACCATATATATTCATGTATGGGATAATAAAACAAATCAAATGAAATATATCGGGAGTCCCTCTGGGTCACGCCCACCCCCTCCTGTTTGAGAACTTGTAAATGGTCGAGATCCCCACCTTGAAACCATATATATTCTTGTATGGGACAATAAAACAAATCAAATGAAATATAGGGGGAGTTAACGGGGGTCACCCCTACCCCCCTTCTTTTTGAAAACTTGTAAACAGTCGAGATCCCCACCCCAAAACCATATATATTCTTGTACGGGACAATAAAACAAATCAAATGAACTATAGGGGGAGTCCCTTGGGGTCACCTCCACCCCATCCTGTTTGAGAACTTGTAAACGGTCGAGATCCCCACCTTGAAACCCTATATAATAATGTATGGGAAATAATACACATCTACAACCTATTTAAAATAATACACATCTACCGTTGCAAACTTTCCACAGGTGCTATCCAGCACTTTGATTTCTCTTTGATCTTTACGATTTTGGCCAAATCTCACGCATTTGCATTATTAAAAGTTGGCAGAACTGTTATGACTTACTTTTCGAGATATTTCAGTTTGGAATTTGGGTGTTTCATGTACAATCACCAAATTTTATTTCTCAATACTTTTCCGTATAAGTACATGTAACAACTTTCTTACGGAAAGAGATATTTCCAAATGTGTTTTTTTTTTTTTGCAAAGTGTTCCTTAAGGTTCATCAGAAGGAATTTAAAAATATGGCTGTGTTAACACCACAAAATTTACTCTGAGTACACCATGTACACTGTGCACCTAAAAAAGATTTAAGGCATGGCAGGAACTAGGAAAAATAAACTTGGGATGCATTTTTTGTTTCAGAAAATTAAATACTTACCTGGAATTTGCAGAAGGTAATAAATTTAAAACTGTGAGTTTCATTTGATATGGTCCACTCATTTACATATTTTAAGTCAATTACTGTTGTGCAGATATCTATTGCCACTCTACTGTCCAGTTAATCAATACAACTCATTAAAATTATTTACATAGGGGAACATCTCAAACATTTTTCCAAACTTAGTTTATTTGGCACCTCCTGTGGGAATGAAAAAAAACCAAGTAACCTCAAAATCCAGAAAAGTTTATAATTTTCTAAAACATAAAATGCATTTAAAATTCAATTCTCTAGTTCCTGTCATGTATTTTAAAACTTTCCCAGGTGCACAGGTTTGTTTGTACTCATAGTTAAATGTGTGGTGTAAATACGGCCATATTAGCCAAAAAGTTGTTCATCATAAGAAGAATAACCTTTTGGCTAATATGGCTTCATTTACATCATTAGGGATTTTACTTTTTTTTTGTCATACATAAGTTACCTGTTTTAGACAAGACAAGAAAAAATTGTTAGAGCAAGAAAAAAACTTTTTAAAAATTTGAAACGATTTGTCATAAAATTTTTCAGGTAGGCAGCTTTTTAGGTAACATCAAACAATTTTATTTTGTTTTGTTTGGCCTTGTGTGTTTCCTATTCACACCCCAAAAAAATAGGTAGGGTAGGAGGGTAAAACATTTTTTTTTCTATTTAGTTTTGTTTTCCATTGCAAATACTTTCAAATTCATGTAACCGATTTGATGACATTTGTGATTCTTCCGCAAGTTTTGTATGCTTATCATTAGCAACATTGGGAAAACAACACGTTAAATTTTAATGCACTATTATCTGCCCTTTAAAAGCACTTTTTATACGACCGCAAAAAAATTTTGAGGTCGTATATTGGTATGACGTTGGCGTCGTCGTCGTCGTCGTCCGGCGTCGTCGTCAGAATACACAATGGTTTTCGCACTCTAACTTTAGTTTAAGTGAATGGATCTCTATGAAATTTTACCATAAAGTTCAATACCACAATAGGAAGGTGGGGATTGATTTTGGGGGTTATGGTACCAACAGTTAAGGAATTAGGGGCCAAAAAGGGGCCGAAAATAAGCATTTTTGTAACTTCCAGACATAACTTGTGTGTTAGCATATGGATCTCTTTGACATTGTACCACAAGATTCCATATCACAAAGGGTCAATGCTGGGATTGATTTTGGGGTTAATTGCCTCAAAATTTTAGGAATAAGGGGCCAAAAGGGGGCAAAAAACAAGCATTTTTCTAGTTTCATGACAATAACTTGTGTGTAAGTGTATGGATCTTTCTGAAATTTTACTACAAGGTTCCATTTCACAAAGGGAAAGCTGGAATTGAGTGTTGTGGTAATTGCCCTAAACGTTTAGTAATAAGGGGCCTAAAAAGGGGTTTAAAATAAGCATTTTTTAGTTTCCAGACAATAACTTGTGTTCAAGTGTATGGATCTCTCTAAAATTGTATTACAAGGTACCATACCACAAAGGCAAGGCTGTTATTGAGCTTGGTTTGGGGGGAAAGGGGGGTGGGGGTGATGAATCATAAGGGGGGCGGGGGTCAAAAAAGGGGTAATTTTTTTTTTTCCTTTTTTTTTTGTTTAAAATTTACATTTTAAGTTAGTTATTTTTTATCACGAAGAGAAAGTAGGAATTGAGTTTTGGGGTTAATTGCTCAAACATTTATGAATAAGGGGCCAAATATTGGTCGAAAATAAGGATTTTTTTAGTTTGCAACAAAAACTTGTGTTCAAGTGTATGGATCTCTGTGAAATTGTATTGCAATGTACCATACCACAAATTGAAGGTTGTGATTGAGGTGGGGGATGATGAATCAAAAGGGGGTTGAAAAAATGTGTGGGGGGTAGGATTTTTTTTTTTTCTTTTTTTTTCTTTAAAATTTTCCATTTAAAGATGGTTGTTTCAGATTTATATATGAAAGAAAATAATAATGATACGGTTATATATCATGAGGAATTGAAATTTATGGATACATATAATATCAAACATAATAGAAACCCTAACTCCCGTAAAAAACTTGATGAAATCATTGATGTTTTTGAACTACTTGATCCTTGGCGTACATGCTATCCAGAAGATAGGAAATATACTTGGCGTCAGTCCTCACCTATAAAACAAAGTCGTTTAGATTATTTTTTAATTTCAGAAGACCTTTTTTCACTAATGAAAAATACTAAAATTATACCAGGTTATAGAACTGACCACTCAGCAATTATTTTCACCTTCTCAGCTTGTTTAGAGAAACGGGGCAAAAGTTACTGGAAATTTAACTCTCAATTACTCAGAGATGCAGATTATATACAAAAGGTTAAATTATGCATTAAGGATACTATTTTGGAATACTATCTGTCAGGTGATATGGAAGATCTTCTTTCTGTTGATTTGTCATGTAATGATCAAACATTTTTTGAAATATTGAAAATGAAGATTAGATCTTTGTCCATAAATTACAGCATAAATAAATCCAAGGAGGAAAAAAATTTCACCCTCAAACTTGAAAATAATATTTTACATTTAGAAACTATTATGAACCATTCTCCAAATGAGGAGGTTCAAAAAT